GCTAGGCTGCAGCACCGAGCCAGCAACGCAAGGCTTTCCTTTCCACTCTGAGTGTGTGTGTGTGTGTGTGTGTGTGTGTGTGTGTGTGTGTGTGTGTGTGTGTGTGTGTGTGTGTGTGTGTGTGTGTGTGTGTGTGTGTCAGAACAGTTTCTGTGCTCACTCTGGTGCAGAAAAGATGCATTGGTATTATTTGATTTGAGAATCTGGAGGCTAATCGAACACGATGCGGCTTAGTGATGGCTGGCTGGAGGAGGAATGATGAGCGATCCGGACCGCTGCAGGGGTTGAGTTTGGGTCAAGCACCGTTCTGTCACACAGCCCTGGAGAATACAGGCGCTGTCACAACAGAGGTTCCTCTGGGGACGGACAGGCAGTGAGGAAGATAACAGCAGGAGAGACAGCTGGGAGCAGAGCCAGCCAGAAAACCTGCAGAACTGAACCCAGACGGATCGTTTCTACCTCCATGATGCTTCTGATGAGGCCGTTTGCAAATCTACATGCTAACCTCAGCAGCTCCTCAAAACGTCCCTGATGCGTCAGTGGGCTTTGATGAAAAACACGGAGGATTTTCTCTCACATATAAATGAGCTCAAACATCAGATGATCGTCTCTGGAGCCGTTCTACATGCTGCACTCATTTCACAGGATCTGCAGTTCGCCTGATAATGTCTAATAATCTGAAACCTGGATCCGATCTCAGCCAGCAGAAGGTGTCAGTGAACTCATCGTCATGTTAGCATGAAGCTCCTCAAGGACAAAAGCTTCAGCGACCTCCGTTAGCATCAAGACTCGGTTCCTCCTGTCTGTGGAAACGACCACAGCAAAATGCTAAGCTGCTAACGCTAAAATGATAACAAACCATCATAGACATGAATTAGTTGTGCTGATAATTTTGTTTTTAGCCTTCTGCTAATGTTAGCGCTGTGTGCTAGCAGTTAGCTAGAGAACAGAACCTTACTCTGAGTTTTGAAAAGTTATTAGGTGAACAGCTGGCATAGCTTTTGTCCTGGGGAACACATGATCCAGATGAGTTCAGTGCGTTCTTGGTGCTAGCCTTAGCTAACCCGCTAACCATGCTGAGGTTTTCCAGACGTGTTCGTTCACGTTGAGTCGTTTTCTGGCTCCAACATGTCAGGCTGGATGGACGAGTCTACTGCTGGTCAGAAACGTTTCTGCACCGTCAGATAATCTATCTCTGCTATCAAACTACAAAAATGGCCGAACAGCAGGGGGCGGGGTCTGAACTACCTCATTTGCATTTAGAGAGACCAAAACGAGTTGCTCTCAGATGAACCTGGGGTCAGAGGTCAAAGAGGAATCTGAGGAGCTACAAGAACCAGGAAGTCAGCTTTAAATAGACCACAAGTGGAGGGTTCAGCTGAAGGACTGGAAAGGAACATTTGTTCACCTTGAATCCACTTTCCATCTCGTTCTGATGCTCAGTTTGAAGTCCACCAAGTCGTTTTCACCAAGTCTCGATCAATAGATGAACTGATTGGCTGGTTCTGCATCGGGCATTCGAGCAGCCGTGCCTTATAAAGTGGCAGTGATGTGTTCAGGTGTCTGTGTCAGAGTTGGAGTCCAGGTTTGAGCTGTCAGAATAAATGATGAGGAGTTTGGCGGCGTAGTGAGGAGATAAAGGACGGGTGGATTCCGGGTCAGGAGGGACGTCTGAGCGATAACGAGCCGCTTCCATCCTTCATCCGCCGCCAAGGCTGCAGGCAGAGGGGAGCGGCTTATTGAGTCCGATTTATGCCCTACCCAAACTCTTTGTCAGAGAGATGAGTGAACCATTGGAAATATCATTCAAGCTAATTTATTTTGCATCTATCAACTATTTTTATGTTCAGCATCAATAACTGCCTGCAGCAGCAGCAGATCTGGACCTTCTTCCTCATTTTTGATCCTCTCTTCCCTTCATAAACTTCCTAATCGTTCCCCACTCACTCCGTCCGCCAGTGCGCTGCTGTCATTAAAGACACTTGATGTCCAAACGTTTGATGAGACGCATTTCTGAGAGACGGTAAGCTGGCGGTCAGGCGGGGGGGCGATGAGGCCCATGAAAACCCGAGGCGTTGCTTCACTGACTTATTGAAGGGTGGGGACGCCATTAGAGGGCGCGCCGGGAGGAACATCATTAACGAGCTCACATTGTTGAAGAGATGACGTTAATTAAAGGGTTCCCACAGCAATGGAAAAGGCCTTTGATTAGACCACCAAAGCCTCTCTGCTCGTCTGCCACTTGTAGCTGTGTGACCTTCACACCAACCGCAGCCAGAGTCCTGCTGCCAGTTTACTGAGCAGAGAGTGTGTGTGTGTGTGTGTGTGTGTGTGTGTCTTCCACACCAGGAAGGACCCAAGGAAAGGAAACACTGCGCCAATTAGAGTCTGCAGTTCAGAGCATCATTCAGCTGAACATGAGACAGAAGAAAAAACCGATTCAGAGCTCAGCTGCAGCAAAAGGTCAGAGGAGACGATGTCCAACAGAAGGGCAGGAAGCTGGATTATTGTCATGGCCTCAGGCTGCAGGAGGAAACAAGGCTCAACTGTGACTTTCAACAGGCTGCTGTCCCTAATGAATGAATGGAGAGTAATTTAGTACGGATGGTCCTTTCTTCCTCTGGTTTAGCGTAAAATATGAGCATTAGTGGTTTCTTTCAGTTCTGACAACGATCCAGGCCGAGGCTGGACTCCTCAGATATTTGGAGGTCAAGATTTGGTCAAACAAAGAAGGATCCATCGATGGAAAGGTCTGGAAGCAGACGGTGGGTCGGCGGACAGACGCTCAGGTCGCCGATACGACAGAGACGGATTGGTTAAAAGAAGCTAATAAAACTCTGTCAGGGGAAATAAATACTCGATGTTCCCATTTCAGCAACTGATCCGATCTCAGGAAATCCTGAAATGCAGAAATGAGGCAATATTTCTCTCCAGTCGCAGGTCATCCTGCCTCAGATTGACAGCGTGACAGAAAGAAAGTCTTACTTTCATTTGAACTGCAGGACGATTCATGGAAACGGTTTCTGTGAGTGAAAATCCTCATCATTCGAGCTGCTTCAGACAAACAGGGAGAATGGAAACAGTCTGCTGCTGGGATCAGGCTTTAACACGCAGAGATGATCATTACAACACTTCAAAAATAAATACTCTATGACTGAAGATCAGTCAGCTGCCTTAAAACTGTAGCTTCATGAATTCAGTATTTATTTAAATCAAGAACAAAATCAGTTTACATACTTTAGACCAACATTAGATTCTTTTTCTTGTTTTGCTCTTTTGTTATTTTGTTTGCATTTCCTTTTAACTCCTGCAAAGCACTTTGTTTTGCCTTGTTTCTGAAAATGTGCTATAGAAATAAAATGACCTTTACCTAAAATCAGCAGTAGACAGCATTGAAAATAAACTGGGTAAAAGATCAGCGCTGGACTTTAACATGTCAGTTTTAATTAATGAAGCACCCAGATATATAAACTCCTTAAACTTTACTCTTTTTGCTGCATACGAAGGTTTTGGCGGGATCGTTTGTATTCTTGGTTTCTGGAACGCCTGTAAATCTGACGCACAAGCAAACGGCTTCCTGGTCTGAAGCTGAAGTCGCATCAAATCCTTCAGATTCAGGATCTGAACTCACAACCTGCCGATGTTTCCATCCGTTCTGATATCTGTGCTGGAGGTTGATCCGCTCCAGAACAACAAAGATCAATAGACTGACAAGATAAAAGGTGTTGCTGCACACGGTGCGGCGCAGCAATCTGCAAAGGCTGCAGAGCTATTCAGCTCAGGAAGGCATGCAGGCTGCAGCTGGGAGCAGAAGAACAAAACGGCCCAGAAAGGAAACTAGTTTTCTTTCTATCGTGTGAAAAAGGTCGAGGCCCTGCTGCTTCCCTCTTGGACACATTCTGACCCTGAAACTTCTCCAGCTGATATTTCTGAAACCCTCAAACCTTCCTGGAAACCAGAGGAGATCTCACCTGATAAAGGTGGTCTGGTTCTCAGCCTGCAGCTCAAATCACTCAGGAAAAGCTGAGCAACATTAATAAACTCCAGTTCAGTTCATGGAAGACGCAAATATTAGAGACAAAACCGAAAAAAGCAGGAAGAGCTGCAGAGCAGCGGCGTGAGGTATGTCACTAAATATCACAGAGTACTCTACTGATGGAAAGTTTGGTGGAAGGAAAAACTGGCAGAAAAAGGCATCAGGGAAGTTATGGACAGCAGTCAGAGACCCAACACACACTGATGGATCCAGAACCCGTTCCTGATGTTAAACCCGTCCAGAACCACAGACAACAGGAGGAAAACGTCGTCTCTGATCTAACTCAGTGAAAAATCAAGTTCTGTTTATTATCATTCATTGGTTTTTATCCGCCATTAAATGTAAGGCATCCAAACCAGTTATCAGATAATCTAGAGATAATCCTGACTCACAGAAACGGTTCCCACCATAAAACTTCTCAGACCTTCATTTAGCCGAACCTGAAAATAACAGAAACGCTGATTTCTTCTGTAACTCCTGAGTTTGACCTGTAAGTCAGTGAGCAGCTCCAGATGTTGGATGGATGGAAGATCCGATCCGTTTTATTCTCCGTGATGAAACATCAGCTCAGCGGTCAGAGCCAGCACAGCAACATAACCCAGATTTCTCGTTTTGACGTCTCCAGCTGCAGAGTTAGAAAACTGAAGCGACTGCAGGCTAGCGGTGCCGGAAAGGGCGTGGCCTCCGAGCGTACGTTCATCCGGCACCACAGGAGAGAGACGAGGCGAAAAATGGTTTCTAGCTTTAAAAGGCTACAGCTGAACAAACATTAGCGTTAGCGCTACTGTGCCGTCTGCATGCATCTATTCCAGCCACATGATTGGTCCAACCTGGAGCATCGTTTGTCTTTTCTGTATATCAAATGTCTGGACCAACCCTTTCTCATATTTGAATTGAGGAAACTCCTTTTGCGATGCCTGCTGCTATCGTTGAATCCCAGCAGGCTCACCTGTTGGAATCTCACCTGAACAAATGAATCTGCCCCACTTCGCTGAGGAGCTTTGAGGTCAAACCAGTTCATCTGTTCTGCCTGAAGGTCAAACGCGTTTCGCCGTGGATCGTCCGCCATGGCTGCACCTCGCGCCCAGCCGTCTCTTCTCTGCTGAATATCGATCTGATTACTGCCACGGTCTGTTTAAGCCCTTCTACTGAACAGACAACCAACACTCACCATGACAGACTCGGCGCTCTGTCCTCTCTGCTGTCTGTCGTTTGGGTTTTTGTGTTTTGGCCACAGAGCAGCAGAATCTGCTCCGACTGTAAGGTCAGCAGGAAACGAAGCAGATGTGCCAGCAGGAGAGGCGCTTGGCCCGCTCCGTCTTCTCCATTTGTCAGAGTTACAGCCCCCAAGGCACTCTGAGAGCACTTAAGGTTGGCGATAAATACACACAGCCACTAAAACAAAACCCGCTGACAATTCAGGGACGCGTCACACCTACATGGACTTTAAATTACCGGCCCTGATTCATCGGCAGCGCCCTCTCTGAAACACTCTGACTGACCTCATGGAGCAGAACGGAAAAGTCACAGCAGCAGCCGTGCGAACTGATGCTAACTGATGCTAACTGATGCTAACTGATGCTAACTGACTCTAACTGATTCTAACTGATGCTAACTGACTCTAACTGATGCTAACTGATGGGGATGTGATGATGAATCGATGGTATCAGGCCATTTAAGGCAGAAAGCTCCGCCTGATGAAGGAGCTTCAGGAAACGTCAACCATCAGTGGAACAAACGGACATAAATATTGTTTCATGAAGCATAAAATAACTTTTTAAAAATCATTTGATCTTGTTAGTCTGTTCTTTATGACTGGTAGCTTCACTAAGGAGCCACTCTCGTCTTTCTAAGGGAATGAACAGAGTCCCAAGTCAAGTCTCTAACAAACGCATGTGTCATGTAGTGTGACACATGCGTTCACACTACATGGTGAGAGGAACCAGAAATTAATAAGGGCTGAAAAAAGCAACAGGGAGAGCGGGGCATGGAGCAAGAGTCCAGGAGGAACACGAAAATCTGGGAGTTTTACTACAGAAGAGGCAAATCTAATCAAGAGAACGCAGACGACAAAAATATCTATAAACCGAGAGGGAAAACAGAAAAAAACACACAAAATGAAACGAGTATGGCAAGATCTGAACTATATTAATATCTGTCATAAATCAGAGGTTCGGTGGTGAGGATAAGAAGCTGCTAGATCCAGGTTGCAGTGAAAGTGTACAGACATCCAGGCAGTCCAGGTGAGCGATGAGGCGAGGAACTCAGACACTGGTAGCAACTGGAGCAGCACAACACAGGACCAAACGGCAAGAATCCGGCAGGGAGCAGGCGACGCGGCGGGTTTAAATACACAGGGACTAATCAGGGGACAGTCAGGGGACAGACAGGACGACACAGGGACTAAATAACATACATAACAACCAAACTGATCAGATTGCAAGGTGTTTCAGCTGTGCTCCACCGATGGTTTACCTCAACTGATCAGGAGAAAATGTCTTGTGAGACTAAAAGCTCTGTCTGTGATGATGCTGGTTCAGTCTCCACAGGATGCTGGACGCTTGAAACTGTCAGAATGAAATACTTTACGACTTCCCAGCTAATATCTGACCAAATTATTACCAAAGGGTGATTTGATCCTTAAATTCCGAAGCAAAAAAGCAAAAAAGTGAGGTGAAGCGTTACATCGTCTGTGATAAGGCAGCACACCCATCAAACCCACAGATACTTCACAGCTGCTGTTCGCCAAGCAGTGAACAAAGCAAAGGCAATCAGCTCCATGCAAATCGAAAAACAAGGACAGAAAAGCGCTGAGACGGCCGACGCTGCAGCGTCCGCCCAGTGAGAACCTCTGGGCCTGAGAGCAGCGCAGGCAGAGCCTGAAAAGGTTCGTACATGTTTACTCTGAAAAGAGAGAATTTAGGTTCAGCACTTCAGTGAACAAGCAATCAAACGGTGAAAAACATTGGCTCATTGTTGACATGAAGCATAATTGCATGCAGCTTTCTGCTGCCGTTTCCAACACAAGAGCAGAAGAGAATTAAACATGCAGAGCGGCGCCGTAATCACAGGTTCAGACGGACGAGGAAACGAGAGGCTGGTGGTAAGTAGGAAATATTAGGTTTACATTTTAACATGTCATTTATGGTCATAAATACAGCAATGTGTATAATGTTACAATGAGAAACAGCTTAATGCTCAAATACATTATTAGAGTGTTTATTTTCTCCAGGTTTAAAGATTTATATTATTATTAGAAACATCAGAAGCTGTTGAACTGATTTTGAACAATCTGTTGAATTGAAGGGATTTCAGCATCAAACTGATCCATCCAGTCTGCAGCAGTTTGATTTGTGTAAAATCAAAAATCAACCATCAGGAGCTTCTGAACAAACTTTCCGCTCAGCTGAAGCTGCGTTCACACAGCAGGCGAACCAGAACCAAACCTGATTCTGGTTTTTTCACTCACAAATGAATCCAATCTGCTCCACATGTGGAACTAAATCCCATCCGATAGTTTCCAAAGCATCTGCAGTCTGAACGTCGCATTTTATCCAACATGCATCAAAACAGACGGTAAATCTAGACTATGGCTGAAAATGACGATAATGAAGTGATGAAAGCAGTCTGAGTCAGTGAACAGAACCGGGTCAGAACCGGGCCAGAGGCTGCAGCTCCACTAAAGGCTGCTGTTAGCTGTTAGCTTCATCAGCTTCCTGCTGACCGTCTGCTGACCGTGCCGTCGCTCTCAGCAACTTTAAAAAGAAGAACGAATGAAATTTATTTCAGAAACAATCTGAACTGAGCATCAGCAGCTGCTGGGAGAACGAAGCCTAAAACCAAACTCTTCATTCTAACATGGTTTTCATCAGAACAACTGCTGCTGCTTCATTTGTACCTCTACACAGTTTCCCTGCGTCAGAACCGTGTTTAACTGGAGGTTCTGGTTCCGGTGTGCCGGCTCGTCCCCTCAGGAGCTGCAGATCCGGCCGGCCTGACACCCAGTTATTATTCATGTTATGGAGATTTTTCAGGAATGCTCATTGAAAACTGTTGATCTCAGCAGAATGAATGAATTTCAGCACTTCAGAAAAAGAAATGAGAGAAAATGTATTGCTGTTTAACTTCTAATTATCAAATAAGTAACAGCGACAGGGTCGCAGATCTACTTATAAACAAAAAATGACACATATTGGTAAAATGTGAGGAGTTTGAGTCAGCATTAGGATTAAACTGGTCAGTAATATGAATTAGTTCATATTTATGTGTTTGAGGTGCAGCCATGCGGCTCGCGGACAGCAGCTGGTCCTGATATTTGGATATTTCCACCTTTATGTTCTGAACTATGTGGAATATAAGCTGTGAGATTTATGAAAATATTGCATTTATTGAAACTAGTTTATTTGATAATGATGAAGCCAGACGCAGCATTTCCCTGGACTCCAGACATGTCGGGGGGGAAACAACAAATAAATATTAAAATAAAAGAAGCATTTATGTTAATATTCAATCTTTATTCAGAGGTGTGAATACAAGTTTTTAATTTTTTAAAGTTTAACGTTCTCACCTGTTTTACCCCGCAGTCAGTTTGATTTATGGAGCCTGCAGCAGAAAGCTCCAGGTGAGGCAGGGCGTCCCTCCTCCTGCCTGCAGGGGGCGCTCCGGAGCCCTGCCTCTGTTTTCTCATGAATATGTTTCTCAGATGGTCTTTGTTTGACTTTGGGTTGTTTGGATGGAAAGTGAGCTTGGTTTCCATGGAGACAAAAAGGCGACACATAAACGCACCATAGAAGAAATTATTTTCCACCAGAATGATGGGAATAATGAACAATCCTTAAAAAGTAGAATTTTTATGTTTGTGATGAAAAAACAAATTAATCAAAGACAACAAACAATAAAAATAATCCAGAACCAGCAGAACCAGAACCAGAACCAGCAGAACCAGAATGAGTAGAACCAGAACCAGCAGAACCAGAACCAGAACCAGAACCAGCAGAACCAGAACCAGCAGAACCATTTTTCATCTTTATTTTAAAACTCTTACCGATACGAAGCATAAATGAAGCGTCTGGATTTTAACGGTCTGACCTGAAGAGGGCGCTGCAGGCTGCTCGGCCGCTCTTCATCACACAAACACTGTCCTAATCAGGCAAAACATTATGACTAGATGCTGTCCAGCAGCAGGTCTTTGAATTGAAGGAAGGTTTGTTGGTTCAGAGGTAAAATCGTCTCCGAGCTGCTCGGCTGAAACCTCCCATGTCGAGGAGGGGTCAGCAGGGCATCCTGACCTCTCTGTTGCTATGCAACCACTTTCACACCTCAACATCCGCAGCATCACGCAGCTCATCTGTTGGATCAACCAACAGGGTGGCTGGTTTTCATGAACCCATTAAGAGTCCATTAAATGCTGTAATTCTGCCTGCTGTGAAGCAGGAAGTGGATCTGTGGCTCTGCCAGAGAGCAGGTGATCCAGATCACTCAGAACCTCTCTGACCAGGCAGAGCGGCTCGGTCCAGACCGTTCCTGGTTTCAGATTAACTCATTTTCTCAGATCAGCTTGTTTTGTCCCTGTAAATGTGCAACGCGTGCCAAGACTAGGCCAGTCCTCTCTGGGAGTTTCTCAGTAATCAGGAAGTCCAAGCTGGAGGTTTTCCATGTGTGAAGCTCTGTCACATTTCCTGACAAGCTTCAGCTCCGCCTCAGCTGTAATTGGGCTTTTAATTGGATGACACTTAAAATGTCAGTTCACATGAAATGTTACATCTTTGACTTTTTATAGCAGAATAAAGAACATGGAGTAAAACGTGCTGCAGAGGTGGAGGTTCAGGCTTAAAGACAAACATTTGCATTTGAGAGTTTTTCTGGTCTTCAGGAGAAATCCGGATTATCCGGGTCCAGCTGCTTCTCCTCTTTGGTTCAGGCGGTTCTGGTTTTTAAGACTCAGATGAACAAAATGAGAAATTCAGATGAAATATCCAAATGTCCACATATCAGATTCCAGAGCCTCAATGTGCAACGCTGGATCCCAACACCTGATGGAGGAAGTTTGCTGCTTGTGTCAGAACCAGA